GAGTGGTTTGAACGGCTGTTGTACTGCGATGTGGAAAGCAAATGGAAAAACTACCACATTATCACTTTTCCTGGATAGTCTCTTCCCAAAAACAGAAGATCGCATTAAGTGGAGGAACTGTGGAAGAGGAAGAGGCTGTGGACCTGTCGTCGTCTGACAGATTACTCATGAATGAAGGTTCATTACCGTGTTCACAAGAGTCCTCCATTGGTCCCTATCCTCAGCCAGATCAGTCCAATCCATACCATCCCAACCTATCTCTCTAAGATCCATTTTAATATTGTCCACACACGTACGTCTTATTCTTCCCAGTGGTCTCTTTCCTTCTGACTTTTCCGCCAATATCATACATGCATTTCTCTTCTCCCCCATTCGTGCTACATGTCCTACCCACCTCATCCTCCTTGACTTGATAATTCTAATTATTAAATATTCTCACACACACACACACACACATATATATATATAAACTTAAAAGTAAAAACTCTCCTGCAAGAGGCCGTGGAAGCCCATAGGGCTGTGAGACGTCGAGGTTCTCACATTTTCTAGACAGTCGGCTCACAGATGGCGGAGAGGCTGTCAGCATTAGGCGCCGGCCGCCCTTTACCTCCAGGAAGATTTCTGTTACTAAGTTCTGTTAGAGGTTGAGTCGACCCCCAGGGTCATAGTGCTGCTGGAAGAATTAGATAAATTGAAATTACCTCAACGGGAATCGAGCCCGCGACCTTCCGGGTTGTAGCATAGTGCCTCAATCAACTACACTAGCTCGAGCCCCTATTAAAAATTAAAATAAATGTTATTTGATAAGGAGACCTTTCTACAAGGAGTGTTCAAAATTTCTGCCTGCACAGAAAATATTTTTGTTCGTTCTACCAGGTACATGTGGCACGCGGTAGCATAGTTGATTGGGCCACTATGCTATAAGCCACAAGGTCGTGGATCTCATTTTCCGATGAGGTCTTTGGATTTTTCAATTGACCTAATCCTTCCAGCCGCACTATGACCCTGGGATTGACTCAGCCTCTAACAGAAATGGATACCAGGAATCTTCCTGGGGATAAAGGGCGGCCGGCTCGTAAGGCTGACAACCTTACCGCCATCTGTGAACCGATTGTCTAGAGAAAATGTAGGAGTCTCTAAATCTCACAACTCTGTGGGCCTCCAAGGCCTGTTACAAGGATAGCTTTGCCTTCTTTACCTGCCAGGTACATTCATAAACACCGGCCGTACCACTTATATTTTCTGAGGGTTTCCGTGGTTTTATCCATTCCCTACGGGCAAATATCGGAATAGTAACTCCATTAGACTACGAGCACCTCCTTCCAAATCCCCTCCATATCATCATTCGCGTGTCATCCTATCATTAGATGCTGCATATTCTCCATAGTGAAACATTATCGTTAGGTAACCCACATTTCATCGACTTATATCGATATATATCGACACACATGTTACTGAGAGGCATGAAAATACATTACTGAAAGATACAGCACCATGCCATGGGCCGCGCCATAGCTTAAGCGGTTACTCGCTGGCTTCCCACCGCGACGGCCCGGGTTCGATCCCGGGTCTGGTCAAGTGGGATTTATGGTGGACAAAGTGACACTTGAGCAGGTTTTCTCTGAGTACTTCGGTTTCCCCTGCCAGTCTTCATTCCACCAATTGCTCCACAATCACCCTCACCTTTCATTTGGGGCTGGTACAATAGGCCAGAAGTGGCCGCAGTACAAGGGACTTAGTCCCACCCCACTATCAAAAAAAAAGTACCACGCCATGGAGACGCATGAAGGGTGTAAATTAAGCTAAGAGAAAGTTATCCCTGTAACAAGCCGTGGAGGCCTATATGGTTGCTCCCGCGTAGGAAGAGAATATGATGATAAAATTCGACAGACTTTTAACCTTATCATCAATGGAGGGAGGTGATCATTTTCACGCTTCGGTTGGCTTACTTTCCGTACCCTTTGTTAGAGGGTTGGTAGGCCCGTGGAGCCAATATTGACGCAGTGGGGAAGAGATAAATTCAAATCCCATTGTCAGAAACGTCACTGGCTGAGCTATCCTTGTTCCTACAGAGTCACACGATTATTTTGGGTATGAAATGGGAGTTGGAAGGGTTGGAAATTGTAGTCCCTGAATTTAATATCACACTACCTACTGTCACAAAGGAATCAGGAAGAGCTTTGAAGAAGAATAGATGATCCAGTCAGAATTTGAATATAATATTTGCATAATACAGAGCGAGACTAGTAATAACAAGATATTTATATGAAAAAAAAAATTTGTTAGGTTATTAAAAGCTATCACTGTAATAAGCCTTGGAGGCCCATAGGGTTGTGAGACGTCGAGGCTCCCACATTTTCTTCAGACAGTCGGCTGCCAGATGGTGTTCAGGTGTCAACTTTACGCGCCGGCAGCTGTTAGGTTATTACTTTTATTTATTTTGAACGAGGCAGCAGTTACTTTACAAGTAATTGCACGAAGTAACATCCAAAATTCTGTTCGCATAAACAAAAAGTACCTTTAACTTCGATTGTTTGCTTGGGGTGTAATGACAAATTTTAAATGTAACTTTAAATTAAAACATGAAATATATATATTATACATAGAGCAGGGATAGCGTAGTCGGNTATATCACGACAAATAACTTCACGTCGTATTTGATATAGCGAATTTTATTTCACATTCGCACTTACAATCACCCAAATTACAGATTTACGATTACAGCTATATGCAGTATCACAATTAGTACACTCCAAATGCCACACNGTAGTCCCTGAATTTAATATCACACTACCTACTGTCACAAAGGAATCAGGAAGAGCTTTGAAGAAGAATAGATGATCCAGTCAGAATTTGAATATAATATTTGCATAATACAGAGCGAGACTAGTAATAACAAGATATTTATATGAAAAAAAAAATTTGTTAGGTTATTAAAAGCTATCACTGTAATAAGCCTTGGAGGCCCATAGGGTTGTGAGACGTCGAGGCTCCCACATTTTCTTCAGACAGTCGGCTGCCAGATGGTGTTCAGGTGTCAACTTTACGCGCCGGCAGCTGTTAGGTTATTACTTTTATTTATTTTGAACGAGGCAGCAGTTACTTTACAAGTAATTGCACGAAGTAACATCCAAAATTCTGTTCGCATAAACAAAAAGTACCTTTAACTTCGATTGTTTGCTTGGGGTGTAATGACAAATTTTAAATGTAACTTTAAATTAAAACATGAAATATATATATTATACATAGAGCAGGGATAGCGTAGTCGGTATAGCGACTAGTTACCGGCTGGACGACAGAGTGGTTGGAGTTCGAGTCCCGGTAGGAGCGAGATTTTTCTTCTCTCTACGACGTCTAGACCAGTTCTGAGGCCCACACAGCTTCCTATCCAAAGGGTAACGAAGGCTATTTCCTTGTCGGTAGTGCGGCCGGTGCGTGAAGCTGACCACTCACATCCAATTAGTGCCGAGTTCAAGAATACGTGGATCTA